TACGAAATACCGGGGTTTCATACCCTTAGGTCCAGATTTACAATGGTTACTTACCTTAAACCGGATGAAATACTATACCGCGACGCCCTTGCCTCTTGACTCAGCCTCAACTCGCATCGAATCTATCTAAAATCAGAAATATGACGTCAAAATATGCTAAGGGAACGAAACCCACACAAAAATAATCAAAATACAACACAAATCCCGAAATTGGTCCAACCCGACCCCCGGGCCCACGTCTCAGAATTCGATAAAAATTACATCAATAAACTCCTTATCCTCCCATGAGTTCGTACATACCAAGAATACCGAAATCCGACCACAAATGAACTCTCAAATATCTAGATTAAGGTCTCCAATTTCCAAGCCCTAAACCCCCAATTTTTGCTACTAATATCCATAAATTCAAGCTTAATTAGTCAAAAACCATCATAGAAACAAGTTTAGGGTCCAAAAACCTTACCTCCACGAAATCCCCTTAAAATCCCTCTTCAATTTGCTCTCTCAAGCTCAAACCCGTATGAGAAAATGATGAAATAACCAAAAATTTGCGAAGGAAACCTTATATACTTTGTGGCCCAGGGTTTTCGCACCTGCAGAGCCGCTTATGCGTTTTCCACTCAAACCCTCAAAATCGCACCTGCGCATAAACTACCGCACCTGCGGTCTCACAGGTGCGACCGAACTTCTGCACCTGCGCCTTCAGCTCTTCATACCCAATTTTTCATCTGCGGCTAGTAGTCCGCTTCTGCGGTCCCACATCTGCAGTCCCCAAGCCTCACATGCGGTTATGACAGGAGCTTCAGCATTTCAGCTGCAAATTTCCAACTCCAAAACTCCCGTCAACCATCCGAAATCACCCCGAAGCCCCTGGAACCTCAACAAAAAGTACGAACAAGCTATATATCACCATACAAACTTATACCAAATTTTGAATCACCTAAAACAACATCGAATCAACAAAATAACATCAAGCCTAAGATTCCAAAAACTTCCAAATTTCGCTTTTGATCAGAAAGTCTATCAAACCTAGTCCGAATGTCTTGAAAATTTGCACACACGTCACAAATGATACAACGGACCTACTGCAACTTCTGAAATTTCATTCCGATCCCTATATCAAAATCTTCGCTATCAACCGGAAAATGCCAAAAATCCATTTTCACCAATTCAAGCCTAATCTATTTCGGACCTCCAAAACACATTCTGATCATGCTATTAAGTCCCAAATCACCTCCCGAAGCTATCTAAATCATAAAAATCAAATTTCGAGATCGTTTTCTCACAAGTCAACTTCCCGGTTGACTTTTTCCAACTAAACTACCAACTTAAGAGACTAAATGTCTCAAACATCACCAAAATCATTCCGAACTCCAACCAACCAACTCGATTCCATACAATACGACTAAACAAGACATAAAAAAGCAGAAATAGGGAAAACGGAGTGGTAATTCATGAAATGACCGGCCGGGTCAATATAGAAAAATATTGTTGCTGAGCTCAACAAAGGGTTGAAGCTCAATGGTGACAACTATGAAACCTGGAGCTTGAAAGTCCAGTATGTGCTAGAGGAGCAAGAGGTTCTGGAGGCCATTAACAATGCCATGAATAAGCCTGAGGAAGGCAACACTGCTTGTCATAGGCGTGAACATGAAGCCTATTACAGTTGGAAGAAAAAGAACTCCATTCCTCGCATTACATTGTTGAGCACCTTGGATGATGACATCCTAAGAGAGTTTAAGGATCACCAAAGAGTTATGGATCTTTGGATTGCTTTGAGGAAAAGGTTTGGTACTTGTTCCACTGCAAGGCTGTGATCCTTAACGATCAAATTTGATTCATATAAGAAACGCCCAGAACATTCAATGAAAACACATCTGAGGCAAATAACAAATATGATCGAGGTGTTGAAAGATGTTGGTCATGTGTTGACTGATGAACAACAAATCAAGCTGTCATACGCTCTTTACCTAGTTCTTGGGATCATATGAAAATGCATTTGACCCATAATGAGAGAATCACAACTCTGGAAGATGTCCGTGGGCATCTTGAGTTAGAGGAGGAACGACTTGAGGCCGCAATGCCAATAGCTGAGTTGCACATGGCAACAACCTCCAAGACCAAGAGTGATTCAAAGAAAAGGAACTAGGGAAAGAAGAGAGGGCCACCTTAGCATGCAAAAAGGGCAAAGACTGAAAAAGGCAAGAATAGACGTCCCAAACGTGTCAAAGTTGCTAAAGTGAAATGTTATAATTGTGACACAAAGGGTCACTACGCCAGAGATTGCTCTGAGCCTCCTAGAAAGGTATTTCACAATGCTCGAATTAGTAAATTTTGTGTTTCTAGTTTTGTTTTTGTAACTGAATATAATCCTTTGTGGATTGTAGACTCAGGAGCAATGGACCACATAGCCTGGGAACGCAGTGCCTTTGTTGAATTTTGGCAAGTTCCACGTGGAGTAAAATGGATATATGTGAGCAACAACAATAAAGTTGTTGTTGAAGGGATCGGTACATGCAAGTTAGTCATGTGTGGTGGTCGAGACCTAATACTACATGATGTTCTCTTTGCACCAATAATTCGCCGGAATGTTATTTCAGTTTTAGTTTTTCTTAAGCTAAGATTTAACTTGTTTTGTCATGGAAATTTTGCCAAGTTGACTTTTGGTTTTGTGACTGGAGGTTTAATTATTATGGATTTGGATTATGATTCATTTAATAATAATGCTAGTTTTTCAATGTTTGTTTCTTCACATAAATATGACAGTGATGTAAACATATGGCATGCTAGACTTGTTCATATTGGCCAACAAAGAATGCAAAGGTTAGCAAAATAAGGTTTGCATTCCAACATTGAACATGTGGAATTCTGCAAGAAAACCTTTTGGTCAAGCGTCTAGAGCCGAATATCCTTCGCAATTAGTCCATTCAGACATATGTGGGCCTATGAATGCTAGGGCTAGGCATGGAGCAAGTTATTTCATCACATTTATTGATGACTTTACACGTTTCAGTTATGTCTATTTAATTTCCCACAAATCAGAAGCAGTAAGTTGCTTCAAACGCTATATGAGCTTAGTGGAAAATCAATTAGATAAGAAGATAAAAGCTCTTCGAACTAATCGTGATCGTGAATACTTATCAACCTAGTTTAATAATTTATGTGATGAAAAGGGAATAGTTCATCAAGTTGACTATTCCAAATACTCCACAACAAAATGGTATTGCCGAGAGAAGAAATAGAATGCTCCTAGAAATAGTTAGGTCTAGCGGAGCATATCTAGAAAAGCAGTCATGCTAATGTTAAGGGAATCGTGAGAAGAGGAAGATCATTAATGGAATCTCATTTATTTGTATTCACTGTTGCACCAATTATAACTTATGAGATATGATTATGAATACAAGAAATAATGATATATGAGATTTTGAGACTATATTAAATGTGATTTATATGATCTAGGGTACTGCATATTTTATGATCTACTTGCAGGTTTGCGCTCGACGAGAGGCTATATACTCCTAACAAATATATAGCACTTAGCTCTCACAGTATGCTGGTCGCACGGTCTACTTCCCTGTATGAATGATTGAGAAGATGAGTTGTGAATATGTTTCTCATGCTAGATGGCACTCTCATTATGTATGATTGGGAGATGTAGGAAATATTGGGTCCATCCATAAGGGGAGAAATTCAAAAATAGCCAGATTTACAAGCGGTCATTCAAAAATAGCCACAGTTTCAAAAGTAATCAAAATTTAGCCACTTTTCATGTAAAAATAAATCTGAGCGAAAACACGTTCAAATTCCGAAAAATACTCCAGCATATATACTGGAGTTTCAGCATAAGTATAATGGAACTCCAACATATTATAATGAAGTTCCAGCATAAGTATACTGGAACTCCAGCATAATATACTGGAGTTCCAGTATAATATACCGGTCCAGTATAATATGTTGGAAATTCATACACAAGTGCTCCAATCTCTACTATATTAGACATATAGTATAATATGTTGGAAATTCATGATGGAACTTTCCGCGTGTTGGAGTTCCAGCATAATATGCTGGAAGTTCATACACAGGTGCACCGATCTGCAGTATATTATGCCGGACAAGTCCTTGTTGCGGCAAAATAGTGGCTATTTTTCAATGACTTTGCAAACGCTGGCTATTTTTGAATGAACCGTCCGAAAACTGGCTAGCACGTGCTATTTCAACACCCATAAAGGGTGCTCTAAGGCCCAGTAGGGTTATTAGTTAACCCTAATACTCCCTATATAAGTACACTTAGTGTGTACAATAAAAATATATAGAAAAACAGTATTTTCCCACGCGCTCTTCTCCCAAAATCAGACGAGTGGTTTAGGGGTTGCTCCAACACACTGTAACAACCACCACCGACCAGTGATTCCAGCCGCGGTTCCTCCGTTCTTTCCGCTTCCGCTACGCAAATAAGTAAGTTCTCGTTTTACGATTTACGCACTATCTAATGTGTTTAGAATAACGTATTCCTTCACTATCTAATTTTCAAGGGACAAAATAAAATTGCAACTATAGTATTTGAAGATGGAAAAATATAATACTCTAGATAAGTAATCCTCAAAAAGAAAATTAAAATGCTGTCGTCACTTATGAATTGAAGTCCAATTCTTTACAAATATTTCAACTCTCAAGTGATTCAATGGAACGATATTATCAACTTTTAAAACTTTACTAGTTAACTTATCATAGAAACATGATCATTGCACAATTACTAATAATGTTCCAAACCAAATGTATATATGTGGCAAAAGGAGTTAATAGTGTTTACCCTAAAATCGGATAATAATTGAATTTATACACGATTTTAAGGACACGTGATATAAATTGGTACAAATTAAGAAGAATAAATTAGTATTAATATTGATAATGAAAGAAATAATGCAAATCGCACGAATTGAACAGTCTTGGCCCTCGAGTTCGGTCTCCCTTGAACCAAATATGTTTCAACTTGCTTATGAACAAAATAACAAGATAATAAAGCTAGAAAATGACAGTATATTGCTTAGTATTGTGCGAATATGATGTCTTTACAAATAATCAGACTCTCTTTTATATAGTAGGGGAGTCCTACTCTAGGTACAATTCTATATGAGTAAAGAAATCTCATGATTGGCTAATTAATCCGGCGGATATTTTGACTTTCCATTATTCGACTCGGTAAGCTTCCCTCGATCTCTATTTTGTTCGGTATCGATCTTGGTCGATCTCGATCTTGATCAATCTCAAGATCACGAGCTCGACAACCTAACTTTGCATCATTATTCGATATAATACGAGGCTGAACCTTGACTTATTGCGTTCCAGTTTTTAGTCACACAAAAGGGGCAAAGCTGATTTTGACCGTACATCTATCAAAAGATTGCAGAAAAATCCTTCATATAAAAAAATATAACCGTCCAATCGGGAAGTTCGTTTCACACGCACTCTCACACGGTCCACTCTTCCGATCCCAAAACCTCAACTGCCCAGTGCCCATCCCCCCAACTGCTGATAGCTATGGAAGACCCAAAAACCGACCAATCTCCGGCAGCCAACTGCTCAACTCCGGCACCGGGCACCGTTGACGATCTGCCACCTCAGGCTGCAACCGAAAGTTGCGAAGAGAAGCCCGATAAGGAAGACCCAGACAGCTTACGTCAGCCCAAGAGAAGAAAAAACTGCCCCACTGCTTTAGATAAATTTGATTCCGTAAATTCAGCTACTAATTTAGGGTTTTCATTTTCTTTTGACTCGAAATTCTCCGGTTGCTCAACTCCCGAAGTTACCCCCAAATTCGGATCCTTCAATCGGGTCAAACCAAAACCCGTTTCTAGCAAAGATCCGGAATCCGAAGAAAGGGAGCTAAAAGAAGATGAAGAAAGAGCTGATGTTATTGAAAAGAAGAAGAATTCTTTGGGTTTGTTGAGTTCAGTTGATGGGATTAAAACTGTTGATTGAAAGAGATCGGAATTACAGAGTGAGTCTAAGAATTATCCTTTTGCACCGGATCCGGCGGCGCCTCCCGTCGGAATTTCCACGCCGGCGCCGGGAATTGGGGGTTGGGGTGAGGGGGGAAGGAGGTGGGTAAATGGTGGGTGGCGTCATCAATTTAGTACTATTTGTAAACACTGGAAACAAGAGCTTTTTGGTTGTTGTAATTGCGTCAATAATAATGATAGGAGTAATAAAAAGCTGTTTCTTTATACTCTTTTTTCGTTTAATGATGTGTTAATCTTATTTGAACTTTAGCGGATAGTAGTTTCATTTTTGCTTTTAATATTTTAAGGAAGTGATTATAAGCTAATTATAATCCGAAATAATGATTTTAATAAATAAATTCGTACATGTATGCCTTAATACATAAACATAAAAGTGAAAACAATAGGTTTTACTCCTTTCGTTCCAATTTATGTGAACCTGTTTGACTGGACACGGAGTTTAAGAAAAAATACAAAAAATTGGAATTTGTGGTTCTAAACAAGTCAAAAAGGGGCCCATAGTATTTGTGTGGCTATAAAAGCTTTTCATTAAGGTTAGAATTGTAAGTTTAAGCTAAATTGTAATCAAATTTAGAAAGGGATCATTATTTTTAATACGGATCAAAAAAGAATAGGTTCACATAAACTGTAACAGAGGGAGTAATAAATATGGCATTTCTAAAATCTTGTCAATTTTGATTTTATTGAGGATAGTGACACATGACAGTCACGTGAGTTAGTGTAGTTAGCTGAAGGTTACAACAACAACAACAACAACAACAACAACGACCCAGTATAATCCCACAAGTGGGGTCTGGGGAGGGTAATATGTACGCAGACCTTACCCCTACCCCGAAGGGTAGAGAGACTGTTTTCAGGAGACCCTCGGCTCAAAAAAAAGCAACAGGAGCCGATATATTAGTACCATAAAAATGCATTCAGTGGATATATCAGTTAGCTGAAGGTTAGTTATAACTAATTATGTGATTGGTGGTTAGATAGTTAGTGGAGAATGTTAGTCCAGCTGTCATACACAATGTATATAAGTAGGACATATATCTTTTGTATTCAGTTTTTTACATAGTGAAATATACAATCATTTTCTGCTCACATGCTCTCCAATGAGTTCTTCATTCTAGAACCTTCTTGTTCATCTTCTTCTTCCTAGCTCCAGTTGATCTGATCTTCGAGCTTCATCATGGTATCAGAGCCTAGGGGCTAAACACACGATCGTTGTGGTGGATATCTTCTGATGTCTGCAGAATCATTTTGTTGCTGATTATTTGAGTTTTTCCTCAATCAGTTAATCTAGTTTCTGTTTTTTGATTTGCGATTTGTGAATCTATAATTCCTTGAATCAGAGAGTTGAATCAACTGAATCTGTTGGCAATGGCGAATGGAGAAGAAAATTCAACTGGAACAAGCACAGCAATGACCATAGATCATCATCACCCATTGTATTTACAGCCCTGTGATACTCCAGGTAGTTCCCTGATCTCTATTCAACTAACTGGATCTGAAAACTATGCATTGTGGAGTAGATCTATGAAAATAGGTCTAATTGGTAAAAGTAAGCTAGGATTTGTTGATGGACGATGTACTAAGGATAAGTTTGATCGATCCTTGCATGAGCTTTGGGAGAAGTGTAATGCAATAGTTCTGTCATGGATTATGAATGCTGTGAGCACATAATTACTTAGTGGAATTGTATAAAAATCTAGTGCACACAAAGTCTGGACTGATCTAAAGGATAAGTATGATAAGGTAGATGAATATTGCATCTTCTTCATGCACAAGGAAATTGCAACTTTATCGCAGGGAATTTCCTCAGTTTCTGCATATTTCTCCAAATTGACAGACACCTAGGAGGAATATGATGCCTTGATGCCCTGCCCTGGGTGTGACTGCACAGAATCTAAGAGCTATTTTGAACATTTTGAGTACCAAAGGCTGCTGCAGTTTCTTATGGGGCTAAATGAAATATATAGCCAACCTAGGAGTCAGATATTGATGATGAGCCTTGTTCCTACAGTTAATAAAGCATATTCCATGATAGTCTCTGAAGAAAGCCAAAGAGCTTTGGGAAAGTTCACTCAGTCTATAGACATTGGAGATGGAACAACATTTTTCACCAACAAAGGCATGAATTCAGGGAACAATTATAATCCCAGAAGAGGAAATCTATTCTGTGATTATTGCAACTATAAAGGACACACAAGAGGCACTTGCTTCAAACTGCATGGATATCCAGTTGATTTCAAAATGAGGAAGAAGACAACAGGCTTTCCTCAAAGACCTATGGCCAATGCAACCATACAGGAAGAACAACAATCAATGACAAAGCAGGTGACCAATACAACTACACAGGAGGCACAACAAGTGATCAACACATTTGCTGCAAATGTAGCACAAGGAGGAAGGCCAATCATGTTTACTCAAGAGCAATATGATCAAATATTGAAGCAGATTAGTACAGGGACAGGTGAAAATGCAAGCTTTGCAGGTACATCTAAGACCTTTGTTACAAATGAAAAGGTTAAAGATGAGAATTGGACAGTGGACTCTAGTGCAACCAACCACATGGTTCACACCAGAGAGCTACTTGACAAGATAAACACAAATATCCTAGGCAATGCACCAAAGGTATATGTACTTGATGGAACTTCACTTGATGTTGAATGTACCGGAGAGAGTAGAATTGGTGAAAACAATATTGTTAAGAATGTTTTGTATGTTCCAAATTTTAAATATAACCTCTTGTCTGTGTCCAAGCTTACAAGGGTCTTAAGATATTTTATATCCTTTTATCCTGACTTCTGGATAATGCAAGACCTTCACAGTGGGACGGTGAAGGGGATTGGTAAGGAATTAGAAGGGTTGTACAACTTCCAGCATCAGAAACATGAAGCCAAGGCTGCAAATGTACATCTTTAGAGATCTACTGTGTAGGAGGAGGACTTAAAGGTGTGGCATGGAAGACTTGGACATGCTCCAGATAGATTAGTGAAACAAATTCCAAACATGAAGTTCAAGGCTAATAGTGATAAAATAAAGAAATGCACAATCTGTCCTTTGGCTAGACAAGGCAGATTGCCTTTCCCTAAGAGTATAAGTAGATCAGATAAACCATTTCAATTGATTCATGTGGATGTTTGGGGTCCATATAGAGTACAAACTCATAGTGGACATAGATTTTTCCTTACTATAGTAGATGATTGCAGTAGAATGACATGAATTTACTTACTAAGGCTCAAGAGTGATGTGGTTGTATGTTTGATATAAATTTTAGCCTTAATAAAGACTCAATTTGCTGTGACTGTGAAAGTAATAAGAAGTGACAATGGATCTGAGTTTTTCAATTCTAAATGCCACAGTTTGTTTCAATCTTATGGAATGATTCACCAGAGTTCACGTTTTCACACCCCACAACAAAATGGGGTAGTGGAAAAGAAACAAAGACACATACTGGAAGTGGCTAGGACCATCAGGTTGCAGGGTTATTTGCCTCTAAAATTTTGGGGAGAATGTGTACATGCAACCATTTATGTCATAAATAGGTTGCATCTATCAGTGTTGTTAGGAAAATCATCTTTTGAGATGTTGTATGGAAGAGTACCATCTTTACAGCACTTGAGAACCATAGGGTGTCTATGCTTTGCTAAGGTTGTGGGAGAAAAAGATAAATTTGCAGCCAAATCAGTTGGAGCTGTGTTGATGGGATATTCATTGTCCCAGAAGGGATACAAACTGTATACTATTTTAACTAACTCTTTCTTTGTAAGCAGGGATGTCAAATTTATGGAGCATATCTTTCCATTTCAAGTACTTAAGGAAGGAAAGTTGCAGTTTTTTCCTAATGGTGTATTGCACTATCCAGTCACTACTGACGCTATTCCTATGCAGATCAACACACAAAATGATGATGCATCCCTTTCAGCAATGCCACCTGTTGCAGACAACCACACTGCTGATACACAACCTTCATCACCACTTCCTTTATTCTCTGAAGACACTCCAGCTCAGCAGTCACCTCTTTCAGAACAGGATACACCTATTCCTATGGGTCCCCCATTAAGGAAGTCAGGCAGGACCACTAAGGAGCTTGTATGGCTGCAAGATTATGTCTGCAACGGTTCCTTGACAAAGTCAGAAGGGCACTAGCTTTGCAAATACCCAATGCATAACTATTTGACTCATTAAGGTTTCTCAGTCAAGTATCAGTCTTATTTGTCCAAAATCACCGGCATTAGAGAGACTTTGAGTTATGAGGAGGCTGCATCAGATCCCAAATGGCTTGATGCTATGTATCAGGAGTTGAATGCACTCAAGGACAACAAGACTTGGACTCTGGTAGATTTGCCAGCAGGGAAGACTCCTATTGAATGCAAGTGAGTGTTCAAGATAAAGTATAAGGCCAATGGAGAGGTTGAAAGTTACAAGGCACTACTAGTAGCTAAAGGTTACAATCAAATAGAAGACTTAGACTATCAGGAAGCTTTCTCCCCTGTAGTCAAAATGGTGACAGTCAGGGTAGTTATAGCTTTAGCTGCAGCCAACAACTGGAATTTGTATCAAATGGATGTTTATAATGCATTTCTCCAAGGAGAGTTCACTGAAGAAGTATATATGTGTCCACCCCAGGGATTTCCCAGCCAGGGGGAGAAGGTGTGTAGGCTGCACAAATTCGTATATGGGTTAAAATAGGCTTCAAGACAATTACAACATGAGTACCTGATGAGCAAGCTAGGAGTGCTCAACCTATTTGCACCACCTAGCTTGAGGGGGAGTATTGAGGAGAAGAGTGACACATGACAATCACGTGAGTTAGTGTAGTTAGCTGAAGGTTAGTTATAACTAATTATGTGATTGGTGGTTAGATAGTTAGTGGAGAATGATTAGTCCAGTTGTCATACACAATGTATATAAGTAGAACATATATCTTTTGTATTCAATTTTTTACATAGTGAAATATACAATCATTTTCAGCTCACATGCTCTCCAATGAGTTCTTCATTCTAGAACCTTCTTGTTCATCTTCTTCTTCCTAGCTCCGGTTGATCTGATCTTCGAGGTTCATCAGATTTTATCAAAATGATAAGTACCATAGTTAGCTCCTAATGATCAATCTTTTCTCACGTAGTTACTAAACGGGGATTACGAATATATGATGTAATAAAAAAAGATATTGCATATAAATTTTTTTGACTAAATCTTGTGAATATATCCAATAATGAATATATAATGTACTCAAAAAAATCTACCAAATTTTTTGATTAAATCTTGTGAAATATTTTCAATTAAATAGGTCTTAAAATTCATAATTGGCATTTCCTTTTTTCAATGAGAATTTCTAAACTAAACAATCCATTTCCTTTTAATGATTTATATGATTCCACAGAGTTGCAGGTGCTGATGTTTCGGTGTCATGTTTGGTGTACTAATGAAGTTTAGTGTCTAAGCTACACGTGCGCACGGCAAAACAGAACATTCAAAGTCACCATTATTCTCAGGTTAAATTTGCTACTGTATTACTATTAGAAATTGAGGAACGTTGCTTTCATTATATCTTGAGTCTAATTAAACATGGCCATTAGCCCATTAGTCTTATTTTTTAAGAAAAATGAGCTTACATTATCAAATATTTTATTTATTTGAATTGCAGGTACCGCATATAAGAAATTAAGAATAGCAACATTATAAGACTAAAAAATCTACTACTTCTCAGAAAGTTCAAGTTAGATATGAAAGTTGAAAAACAAAAACTTACTTGCAGGATATACTACTACGGTACATGTTTTTCTGAGAATGCATATGCCAGCCATCGATAATCTTATATATACACCAGATAAAAATAACCAAAAGATACTTTTTGCAGAATCAGTAGCTACTGCTCTATCAGTTATCAACCTAAGTTCGGTTCCAACCTTTATCAACAACTATAGAATTGCCCGCAAGGATTGGCTGAGTTAGTTGGATGAGTAATTTTTTACATGGGAGATTCGGGATCAATTTCTCTTACTAGCAGCCTCCTCCGTCAGAGCTCGTCGCATCGGGCTTTCTTAGTGCGTTTTACATCTCCTATGTGGTTTGCGAGCTATTGCACAGTAAGCAGGTTACCCAGTGCACACCCGAAAGACAGGGGCAGCACAATGAAATCAGAGGCCCAAAGCCAAAACTTAATAAGATATGAGAAAATAGCATTAGTAATGTGACAACGACCGGACAAATAGACACGATTAATTTATAACAGCTTGTTTGGATGGTTGTTACCTATTGTATTGTATCGTATTGTTACATTAAATACGATGTTTGTTTTAGTTGTTACTTAAATTTTATAGTATCGTATCGTTTAATCTATCGTTACGTAACAACGAAATGTGCCACTTTACGTAACGTCCGATTTGGTGTAGTCGCATCGTTACCTTGTGTTTTTCTCTCATCTCACCCTTCATTATTATCAAATAATTTTATTCTATCATTTACACTACCTTTTTATATAATAACTTTACCCCGTATCATACTTTTTTAAAATAATATTACAAGTTTATTCTTCATATTATTGGTGCATGATATCATGAAACAATGACAAACGATACAATCTATCCAAAATATTGTATTTATCAGGCGAACCATAATTTCATGCCTCAGCCATTAGTTTTCAGTATTTGATTAATTAAATGAGTATCCAAATAATCTAATAATTAATTAGGAAAAATTAATAGCTCGAAATATTAAATTGAAGACTATAACCCAAATCTCACACTAGACCATGAAGCATCTAAGAAAATTACAAAAGATATCGTATGAACAAATGATAAAGACTCTTTTGGCAGCCTCCACGAACAATGCGGTGGCTCCTCAGCTACTAGCAAACTTCTCATCTACTAGCTTCGTCTTCACCAATAGTATCTGCATAGGCATGCAAGTAAGGAGTGGGTTGTACGTAAATATAACCCAGTAAGATACTCGACCAGCCACTTTGAATACTTTTAGAATAAGTGTTAGAAAATGACCTAAATCTATCACCGACATACACAATGCTCCAAATATATTACGACATCGAAGAAATATTTTCTAACGCATCAACACCATAGCACGAGGTTATGCCACATCACACCACACCACAAATCACTTATAAATAATTTTAGTTTTTAAAAAATAATATATATTTGTGCCTAGTCAAAGACCACTGATTCTACCAAGCGTAGGCTCGTCCCAGAACATAAACCAGGTAGACAAAACATACTTTCAAAATTAATTTTGAAAAATCAAGTATCAAAACTTAAAGTCTCACTTACCTCAAAATTCTTCCTTGCGAATACATTTGTTGCTCCAATCCGAAAGATTCAACTCACCAAACTAATTTCTTGAATCCCAAAAGCCTAGGTTGGAGGAAAACCTTGTTCATCAACACTATTAAATTTTTATTAGCAAGTTAATTATGTCTTGTATTACCACCACTACTACCTCTATATTAATCAATGGTAGTCCAACTGATGCCTTTCGGCCCACAAGGGGTATAAGACAGGGTGATCCCTTGTAACCCTATCTGTTTATCCTTTGTCTTGAAATGTTGTCCAGAAATATCAATAATGTTGTTGATTATCAGGCTTGGAAACCCATATCATTAGCAAAAAATGGGCCTTCATTATCTCATTTATTCTTCGCAGACGATATTACCCTTACCTCGCAAATTACAACTAGTACATGTCAATCAATGGTTAGTACTATGACACAGTTTACTAATCAATCTGGCCAATCTATTAACTTTAAGAAATCAAAAATCTGCTTCTCCAAAAATTGTCAACCCACTACTAGAAAAATAATTTTGCAACTTTTTCATATGAAAGAGGGTCGTAGCTTTAGAAAGTACTTGGGTTTCCCAATTTTACAACCAAGCCTGCAAAATCTGACTATCAATTCTTACTTGATAATTTCAAAACAAAATTGGCAGGCTGGAAAACTAATTTTCTTTCTCGAGCGGGAAGACTAACACTAATAAAATCCACCCTTAACCATCTTCCAAATCACTTGATGCAATATATAAAACTGCCTAGTTATATTCTAAGCCACCTTAATAAATACCAAAGAAATTTCCGATGGGGCACAACTGTACAAAGGAAAAAATTACATCTCCTTAAGTGGTCCACAATCACACAACTTTTGGAACTTGGGGGTTTAGGTATACAAAGTCTTGATATTAAAAATATGTCACTCTATGCAAGTCTTGCATGGAGAATGTTCAATGATCTACAACAGTTATGGGCACAAGTCCTTTTACATAATTATGTACGGCCAAAGCCACTACCAAGTTACAATAGCTCTACTATATGGCGTAATATATTAACGGCTGAAAATATTGTGGATTAGGTTATAAATGGAATATTGCAACGGGATAACATGTTAAGTTTTGGACTGACCCTGGCTCAAGCATAATTTCATACTTAGAGACTATATTCATGGCCCTATGCCTCAATTTGAGGAAAATAAATTAGTATCTAATTATTATTTTAATAATAGATGGCACCTAGACAACATACCCTTTGAATTACCTTTGCATATAATTTCTTTTATTAACAATATTTATATGCCAATAGAATCCACTAACTATGATAAAATTTACTGGAATTTAACGGATAATGGAATCTTCTCAGTTAATTATATGTACAGGTGTTTAACCACCATTAATACACCCACTGGTAAATGTCTGCTTAACTCCTATAAGTGGATATGGAAACTTCCCGTTCCCCCTAAAATATCTTTTTTCATTTGGCTATTATGTCATAACAAACTCCCAACAGCTGTGTATCTCTCACAAGTAGGTATTACTAACTCATCAACCTGTCCACAATGTCACCAACATAATGAAACAATTCCTCATTTATTTCAAACTTGTGCTAATACCATACTTCTTTGGAAATCTCTTAGAATATCACCTCCCACTAGCTCATTAGCTATTCCTCAAAATGAGCTTATGCCTTGGGTGTACCAACTTATACATATACCTTTGCCTTCTACACCATACAATATCCCTTCTACAATTATAATTCCTTTTGCATTATGAAAAATATGGCTTAAAATGAATAAGTTTGTTTATGAACAAAAAGTAAACGACTTAAATATGCCTTCTTTGTTCGTAAAGGTAGCTGAATATTACTTTTTGACAAATCAATCTAGTAAGAAGAGATCAAAGTCTCCTATCTATATTAAATGACATCCACCTGATCATATGTATTACAAATTAAATATTGATGGATCTTGCTGCCCGACTCTATGCACTTATGGAATTGGTGGAGTTATCCGCAGCCACAAAAGTAATTGGATCATAGGCTTTGCAGGGTCTGTCAAAGAAGGCACCTCTATACAAATAGAACTCCTTGCACTCCTCAAAG